AATCCGGCTCGAAGGAGTTCACGGCTTTTTTTTTTTTTTTTCCCCCCTTGTGTTAATTTTAAAATTCCCTCCCAGAAAAGCATATTCCATTTACACTTATCTTCGATGAGAATCTATTTAAAACTATTCTGGATATGCAGTGAATCTCTTTAATTTTTTGTTATTCTCCTTAACAATTTTTAACGCATGATCAAGACTTCATCACTATAATTCACATAATCCAACCCTCTTAGAAGCCCTGGCCACTGATTAAGTGAATCCGACACTGGTCGGCTGGGCTAGGGATCCAGAGAGGCGTCTCCGACCCTCAACCCTGGATACACGGCCTTGGCGAAACCCGGGCCTGGTGGGAATTAGGCGGAGCAACCGGTAATTGGTGGAGCTCGAGCGTCCCCTGGTGTTCAGAGTTCTGAATCGCTGAGACTCAGTTACATATTAAACCACCAGTAGCTCCTTACAAGGTCTGAAGCCGGGACGAAATTCAGGGGGTCTATTCGCCCTTCTCCTTTTAATTGTCACGGAGGGGGCTTTCTACCCTAGCTGAGAATTTGTGCTTGATATCACAATCACATGAAGAGATTTTACAAAGCATCTATGTTTGGAAGTAAGATTCAGGTATTGTAGTTTACAAAGCTCACCGGGTGATTTTCATGTACTACAAGTTTTGAAAAACTGGTAGAAAAGAATCATTTTAGGATAAAATAATACGTAAGGGGAAAATGGACAAAATTTCCTACTTATGTAGGGAATTAGCTCACAAAGTAGAGATCTGGCATAACGGTGGTACATATTTGCTAATTTTGTGTCAATCTCATTAAAATATATTAATCCTATGGTACCCTTTTGTGTATCAAAAATGTGATTGAAGGATATCTATGAAAGAAAATGATTCTCGGCCGGGCGCGGTGGCACTTTGGGAGCACTTTATAACTCCCAAAGTGCTATAATCCCAGCACTTTGGGAGGCCGAGGAGGGTGGATCACGAGGTCAAGAGATCGAGACCATCCTGGTCAACATGGTGAAACCCGGTGTCTACTAAAAATACAAAAATTAGCTGGGCATGGTGGCGCATGCCTGTAATCCCAGCTACTCAGGAGGCTGAGGCAGGAGAATTGCCTGAACCCAGAAGGCGGAGGCTGCGGTGAGCCGAGATCGCGCCATTGCACTCCAGCCTGGGTAAAAAGAGCGAAACTCTGTCTCAAAAAAAAAAAAAAGAAAGAAAGAAAGAAAGAAAGAAAATGATTCTCAAACTTGGATATGTATCCGAATAACATGGAAAACTAAATCAAAACAAACAAAAAAAACCACAGAAGCCCAGGCTTATTGAATTAGGGTAATGGTTCAAGAGCCTTGCCCAAAACGCATTGGAAGCCACTTTATTAAGGGCTGCAGATGGAATATAAACTTGCTTTTTGAAAGCTGATTGAGGGCAAAAAAAATTTTTTTTTTTTTGAGACGAAATCTCATTCTGTCGCCAGGCTAGAGTACAGTGGTGCAGTCTCTGCTCACTGCAACCTTCTCCTCCCGGGTTCAAGCGATTCTCCTGCCTCAGCCTCCGGAGTAACTGGGATTAACAGGCGTCCGCCCCACGCCTGGCTAATTTTTGTATTTTTATTAGAGATGAGGTTTCACCATTTTGGCCAGGATGGTCTGGATCTCTTGACCTCGTGATTCTCCCACTTCAGCCTCCGTAAGTGCTGGGATTATAGGCATGAGCCACTGCGCCCTGCCAATAAATGGCCTTTGCAAAGGTAATGTTTGGGCCTTGAATGCAACACTTATTAAATAGTTCTGGACTAAGCTTCTTGCCAAGTCCAGTGGATTTCGGTCCAGATAGATTCTCTGCCACAAATTCTCCCATAGGCCAGCACCGGTAACAGTAGCACACCCTCCACTCCCACCCTCCCGCAAGATATAGCAAGATGGCATCAGAAGAGTAAGAGTGAGTGTCAAAACAAACAAACAAAAAAACCCTCAAACGTACCTACATATGCTTTGTCTCTCCACCATCTTATTTTTATTTTAATTTATTTTATTTTCTTGAGACGGAGTTTCTCACCTGTTGCCCAGGCTGAAATGCAGTGGCACAATCTCGGCTCACTGCAACCTCCGCCTCCCGGGTCCAAGCGATTCTCGTGCCTCAACCTCCCGAGTAGCTGGGACTAAAGGCGCACACCACCACGCCCAGCTAATTTTTGTATTTCTAGTAAAGACGGGGTTTCACCATGTTGGCCAGGCTGGTCTCCGTTTTCCGACCTTGTGAACCGCTCGCTTCCGCCTCCCAAGTGCTGAAATTATAGGCGTGAACCACCATGCCCGGCCCATCCACCATCTTGTTAAGAATTCTAAGAATAAATATGTAATTTAAAAAATCTTCTAAAAATTTGTAATACAGGGCCAGGCGCGGTGGCTCACTCCTGTAATACCAGCACTTTGGGAGACTGAGGCGGGAGGATCACTAGAGGTTAGGAGTTCGAGACCAGCCTGGCCAACACAGTGAAAATCCGTCTCTACTAAAAATAAGCCGGGTATGGTGGGGCACAGCTCTAATCTCAACTACCGGGGAGGCCGAGGCACAAGAATCGCTTGAACCTGGAGGCAGAGGTTGCAGTGAGCCGAGATCGTACCATTGTAGAGTCAGGCTGTCTCAAAAAAAAAAAAAAAAAAAAAAAAAAAAAAAAAGGAAAAGAAAACCAAAACGAATAGTTATACGTCCTCAGCCTGCTCTGATAAAAATGTAATACACAAATGATCAAAGTGTATAATAGATATGCAAATGCACCTGGAGAGGCCCAACATACAGAAGTGAAAACAGCGAGAGGAATTCCAAAGAACGGCCCGATCTAAGACAGAACAGTCTGAGGACGAGGGAACCACAGAGTAGATGGCTCTTCTTCGGTGGTGAGGGAAAGACGAGCTTAGGGTTCCTGAAGGAGAGACCCCCCCCCACCCCCCATCATGATATAGTAGCGTGTTAGCCGCTTTTGTGTCAGCGAGGTATTCGTGGAAAGATACGAATAAAGGCCAAAGGGTGAAGTGGGAGGGGTAACCACATAAAATTGGAGAATGCGGGCATCGATCCCGCTACCTCTCGCATGCTAAGCGAGCGCTCTACCATTTGAGCTAATTCCCCTCCCACGGAAATCCGGTAGCTTCTACCGCAGTCCGCGCCCCTAAAATTTCTACCCATTGGCCGGGCGCGGTGGCTCACGCCCGTACTCCCAGCCCTTTGGGAGGCCGAGGCGGGCGGATCGCGAGGTCAGGAAATTGAGACCATCCTGGCCAACATGGTGAAACCCCGTCTCTCCTAAAAACACAAATATTAGTGGGGAGTGGCGGCGCGTGCCTGTAATTGCAGCTACTCGGGAGGCTGAGGCAAGAGAATCACTTGAACCCGGGAGACGGAGGATGCAGTGAGCCGAGATCGCGCCCCTGCGCTCCGGCTTGGCGACAAGGCAAGACTGTCTCAAAGAAAAAAAGAAAAAAAAAAAGAAAAAAAAAAATCCCCCTAGTCATCTGGTTCCAGAAACAGATTACCCAGCGTCTCTATGGATCTACGAATGTCCCTTGAGTCAGGCGCGTTGGTTCACACCTGTAATCCCAGCACCTTGGGAGGCCGAGGCGGTTGGATCACTTGAGGTTAAGAATTCGAGGCCGGCCTGCCAATGTGGTGAAACCCGGTTTCCACTAAAAATACAAAAAATTAGCCGGGCGTGCTGGCGCGTGCCTGTAATCCCAGCTGCTCTGGAGGCTGAAGCAGGAGAATCGCTTGAACCCAGGAGGCGGAGGTTCCAACGAGCTGAGATCGCGCCATTGCACTGCAGCCGGGGCTGCAGGGATAGGGCTCCCTCTCAGTAAGAAGAGCAACAACAAAATCCGCTTTTTGTGTGCCTTTGTCACTGCCGGAGGACCTGTAGCCACGAGGGGGCGTGCGTCCCATTTGATTTCTCTATTTTGGCTTCTGTAGTCCTGATTTCGATCAAGGGGTGTACTAATTATTTTTCTAAGGTAAATATTAGGAAGAGAAGCGAGTATACCTATGCTTACAGACTTAAAGGCAGAGTCTTTGCACACAGACAAATGCTTTAGTTGCCACTTTTTCTTCTGGGCCTATTGAGTACCAGGTACTGTGTCAGGTGCTAGGTGCTAAGTACTTTTCAGCAGAAGTTAGTTGAGAAGAGGAGGATCCGTTGGCCGTCCGTTGGCCCACAGTCTCAGGAAAGCCATAGGAGACCCTCACGCAATATCTGCACCTTCAACTGCTTCTTCTCCAGAAATCCCATCATTAGAAACTTCCTCTTTTTAATTTCTAGTCTCAATGAAATTGGGGCAAGATACTACGAACTGAAAGTGGAGAAGACAAAATATCTTATTTAAGAAGGTGACTATGCTGCACAGGGCGTAGTAGCTCTTTTGAAGACCTTTAGACAGCTTTAAATATTTGTCCCTCTCTTTTGCTTTTTCATTCCAATTAGGGGTGACAAAACGAGGTTAACTCTGTGGGAAGAAGACCTCCCAATTTCCTGCCCCCACCATTTTAGATAAGAGAGTTCAAAACTCAGATGTTAGTCAGGAGCAGTGGCCAACGCCTGTAAATCCCAGCACTTTGGGAGGCTAAGCCTGCTGGATCACTTGAGGTCAGGAGTTCGAGAACAGCCTCGCCAACAAGGTGAAACCCTGTCTCTACTAAAAATACAAAAACCAGCTGTGAGCAGTGGCAGATGCCGGTAATCTCAGCTACTTGAGAGGTTGAGGCAAGAGAATCGCTTGAACCTGGGAGGTGGAGGTGGCAGTGAGCACAGACTATAACACGCTCTCCAGCCGGGGCGACGCGGCGAGACTCTCAAAAACCAACAAACAGAAAACCAACTCAGATGTTACACCTGTGTGTAGAAACCCACCATTCCTCTAGCAACCTGGCTCAAAGTCAGCCGTGCTTTGAGGTTCATGCCACCTAGATGTTTTCTCCTTATTCGACCCTGAACAGAATTTTCTTTTTCTTAGGTTTTCACTATTTATGACAAATATTCCACATTCGGATTCTCTCCAGTCAAAAGTTCTTTGAGACGATGCCGTCGGCCTTGGACAATCGGAGAATGGAATCATCTGACTCACCCATCCTACGAATGGCCTCGCAGAGGGCATAAGTTTTAAACTGGCCGTTAAACCTGCCTGTGACCTTGTCAACCTCGGCCACGTTCATCTGGATGGATGTGTGGTCCTTGGCACCGATGATGCGGTTGCTAGCGGAGCATTTCCGTGGCAGGTACAGGTCCACGAACTCCCCGGCTTTGTTCTGCATCTCGAGGCCGCTCCTGCTGCCACCACACCACACGTGAGCCTTCTCTGTTTATTTTCTATGACTTTATTAGGAGTGCAGGTGTGGAAATGAGGCGAAAGAAAATTGGCCCAATCCTGTAGTTCAGACGCACGGGTTGTGTGTTGCCATGACTGTAAACCGGGAGCAACTGGTTTGCCCGGGCCTTTTGAATTGGGAGTTCTGGTTTCCAGCAACATTGGATTCGGTATCAAATTTTACAACTTCTTAGTTACCACAGAAGTAAATTAAGATCAAGAAGCCCTATCTCTATTACAAAATACAAAAATTAGCCAGGCATGGCAGCACGTGCCTTTAGTAGTCCCAGCTACTAGGGAAGCTGAGGTGGGCGGATCACCTGAGGAGGGTGAAGGTGTGGAACTGTAATCATGCACTTCAGCCTGGGCGACAGAGTGACAGACTGAGACACTTTCTCAAAAAAAAAAAAGATGCCTTAAATTTCACATGGAAGTTCTAGCAGTTGTTAAACTATTGACTCTCAGCTCCAAACACACTGCTATGGACTGAGTTATGTTTCCTTAAAAGTCTGTGTTGAGGCTGGGTGCAGTGGCTCACACTTGTAATGCCAGCCCTTTGGGAGGCTGTGGCAGGAGGATCACTTGAGGTCAGAAGTTCGAGAGCAGCCTGACCAACATGGAGAAACCCCCGGTCTCTACTAAAAATAATAATAATAAAAATTATTTGGGCGTGATGGCGCATGACTGAAATCCCACCTACTCAGGAGGCTGAGGCAGGAGAAGAGCTTGAACCCAGAAGGTGGAGGTTGCGGTGAGCTGAGATCAGGCCATTGCCCTCCAGCCTGGGCAACAAGAGTGAAACTCTGTCTCAAAAAAGAAAAAAAAAGAGAAACTGTGTGTTGAATCTCTAGCCCTTAAATTGGCTTAGTGTCCTCATAAGAGGAGACAGAGTACTCAAACCATGTGAAAACACAGCAATAAGGTGGCCATCTTCAAGCCAGGAAGAGAGCCCTTACCAAGAACCAAATCGGTTGGAAACTTGATCTTGGACTGCCCAGCCTCCAGAACTGTGAGAAAGTACGTTTGTTGTTTTAAGCCACCGAGTCTGTGGTATTTTGTCGTAGCAGCCTGCTATGGTTTGAATGTCTGTGTCCTTCCAAAATTCATTATACTGAAATCTAAGACCCCATAAGACAGTATTAAGAGATGGGGACTTTAAGAAGCCATTAGGCCATCAGAGCTCTGCCATTTTGTGTGTGTGTGTTGGGGGAGGGCTTCTCTTTCTTCTGCCATATGAGAACACAATGTTTCTTCCTTTTGTCCTTCCACATCTTCTGCCATGTGAGAATACACAAATAGGCCCTACCTTGGAAACAGAAAGCAGGTCTCACCAGACACTGAATCTGTGAAACTGAATCTGCTGGTACCTTGATCTGGGACTTCCCAGTCTCCAGAACTCTGAGCAATAAATTTCTACATTTTTTTTTTTGAGATGGAGTCCCCCTCTGTCACCCTGGCTGGAGTGCAGTAATGCAATCTTGGCTCATTGCAGCCTATGCCTCCCAGGGTCTCCTGCCTCAGCCTGCCCATTGTCTGAGATATTATAGAACTCCCAACCTGAGGTGATCCGCCCCCGTCGGCCTCCCAAAGTGCTGGGATTACAGGTGTGATCCACGGTGCCCAGTGAGAAGACTGCTTTAAAGCCGATTGCGGTTTAAAAAATGAACATCAACATAACTAAAACCAAGTCTCCTTAATGAACAAAACTTGAAAGCCCAGAAACTTTCAGGACACACGTTATTTTAGGCATTCTAGAGAATATAAGATTGTGTGTCCTTTGATAGCTCAGTTAGTAGAGTGGAGGACTGTAAATTCCTTAAGCTAAGGCATCCTTAGGTCGCTGGTTCAAATCTGCATGAGAGTTTTGAATTCTCAGAAATCCAAACTTTACAAAAATAAGGATCTACGAAAATAAAAATAAGGATCTAGGCAAGAAACTGTGTGAGGTCACTCTTTATGCTCAAGCATGCGTTAAGTAGACCATCTATGAAAATAAAGATCGATATAAGAAAATGTATGAGATGGCTCTTCAATCCCTTCTTCAATCCCCTTTATGGTACAGGAAATAGGACTCTGTTAATCGCGTTGCAGTTTTACCACTTGAAACTATGGGTAAGACTTGCCAAAAAGGAGGCTAGAGATTCCAAGTCTGGAGATGGGAAAGTAAACTCGGTCTCTCTTGTTTCCTTTCTAGGGACTTCCTGTTTCTCCAGGTGTTGCCCCGCTAATCCTAACAGAGAGAACAATTTTGTAGCAGCCCAGCTTGAAATTTCACTTTTTATTGGCATCTCTGTAGCTTTTCCACCTGCTGTCCAAGGCACATATAGGACACGCAGCAATGTCAAGAGAGACTGTCCACATCCTAGGATCCCTCCTCTCTAGCTGCTAGCTCTCTGTTAGGTTAGAAACATTGAAAGTTAGCATATACCCTTTTCGTAGTTATTCATGGGAGGGGCTTAACTATGGAGTTCAGTATCAACTGTATGCTATTAACATTTCTGACACTTCAAATGGCACTAGCAGTTGCCATTTGAGGAAGATCTTGGAATTTTTCTTTTTAAAGCCTTTTCCTGCCAGATAGTTTAAACACGTTCCCCATTGTCCTAAGGGACAACATAACTCTGTCCGGTAGGTACAAGGAAGCTGAGGAGACAACAGTCTCCACAGAACCTCTCTTTATGTTGGACAATTTACTTTGAAAAAGGAATATTTATCCACTTAAAGTTTTCAAGAGTTTTTGCTTCATTTTCACTGCTTCAGCATGATTATGTAACACACACTCAAATTTACACACACATGGAGAAGTGACACTTCGGATTCCATCCCCGCAGTTAGGAATATACACAATTTACACTTTCGGAAAGGAGAACTGCGATGATAGCAGAATGCTTTGTTCACAACCCTGGGGTCCTCGTCATCCCAGTTGTCTGTATTTAGGGCAAACAGAGCATTTATCAAACAAATGCAGACACTTGTTAGAAAGAAGCCGGCCGCGGTGGCTCACGTCTGTAATCCCAGTACTTCGGGAGGCCGACGGGGGCGGGTCGCCTGACCTCAGGAGTTTGAGATCAGCCTGGCCCACATGGAGAAACCCCGTCTACACTACTAAAAGTACAAAAATTAGCCGGGCGTGGTGGCAGGCGCCTGTAATCCCGGCTACTTATGAGGCCGAGGCAGGAGAATCGCTTGAACCCAGGAGGCGGAGGTTGCAGTGAGCCTAGTTCGCACCACTGCCCTCCAGCCTGGGCAACAGGGAGCGAGACTCCCTCTCCATAAAACAAAACGAGAGAGAGAGAGAGAGAGAGAGAGAGAGAGAGAGAGAGAGAGAGAGAGAGAGAGAGGAGGGAGCAGTTAATCAGACAGAACAGCAGGACAGCGGCGTAATCTGGGGGATTGTATACATCTAGCTTAGGAGGACAGGGGATTCCAGTAAAGTTTTTGTTTTGAGCTATACATAAATATCCTGCTTTCAATACAAAACCCAATGCCATTTACATATTTATAAACCCATGAAGCCAACTGCCTAGATCATTATACAGAATAATTCCAGTGTCTGAGAAGACTGTTTTAAAGCCGATTGTGGTTTAAAAAATGAGCATCAGTGTAATTAAAAGCGAGTCTCTTTAATACAGCAAGACTTGAAAACCCAGACTTTCAGGACACACATTGTTTTAGGCATTCTAGAGAACGAAGACTCACGCGCCCTTCGATAGCTCAGTTGGTAGAGCGGAGGACTGTAGGCTTCTTGAACAAGACATCCTTAGGTCGCTGGTTCGAATCCGGCTCGAAGGACGAGAGTTTTGGAATACGTATTCCAAGAATAGGAACTTTGCGAAAATATTGGTTCATACAAACAAATGTGTTAAAGAGCTCAGACGCGTAAACCGTTTTTGATAGATAAAGTGCATAAAATATGTTAGTAATAAACTAGAAACGTGGTGCTTCACCGAAGGGCACCTGCATAGATGAAAAGTAGCGTTTCCAGGAAGTCTGAGGCTTCACTTTTCCCTTGTGAAATTTGCACCTCGCAACTCTTCACCTCCACTCCCTCCCCGAGTCTCCTGCTGGCTCCTGGTTTCTCGATGCCATTCTTATTTCCCGTTCCTGATCATCAAATGCAGTTTTTATTCCCACTTCCCCTCCCTCTCCTCGACGCCAGTTGATGCTCGACCAGCAAGCCACAGCCAACGCCCGCAGCGGACTTCGGTTAGGAAGGCTCGTGGGAGGTCTGGGGAATGCCAGAGCACCCTGCCCCCAAGGTTTTCACTTCAGCTTGTATTGGAGGTTAGGATATGCGATGACTTTTGGGGTCCTCTGTGATCTTGTTACTACCTCCTCCTCCTCCTCCTCCTCCTCCTCCTCCCCCTCCTCCTCCCCTCCCCCCTCCTCCTCCTCCCCCTCGTCCCCTTCCTCCTCCTCCCTCTCCTCCCCCTTCCTCCCCTCCCCCTCCTCCCCCTCCCTCCTCTTCCCCCTCCTCCCCTCCCCCTCCTCCCGCCCTCTTCGTCTTCCCCCCTTCCTCCTCCCCCTCCTCCTCCTTCTCCCCCCTTCCTGCTCCTCCCTCCCTCCCCCTCCTCCTCCCCCTCCCCCTTCCTCCTCCTCCCCCTCGTCCCCTTCCTCCTCCTCCCCCTCCTCCCCTCCCCCTCCTCCCACCCTCTTCCTCCTCCCCCCACCCTCTTCCTTCTTACCCCTCCTCCCCCCTTCCTCCTCCTCCTCCCTCCTCCTTCCCCCTCCACCCCTCCTCCTCCTTCCCCCCTTCCTCCTCCCCCCTTCCCTCCTCCTCCTCCTCCTCGCCTTCTTGTTTGTTCTTCAGACAATCTCGCTCTGTCGTCCAGGCTGGGGTGCAGCGGCGCGATCTCTGCTCACTGCAGCCTGGACTTCCCCGGCTCAAGCGATCCTCCCACCTCAGACTCCCGAGTGGCTGGGACTACACCACACCCAGCTATTTTTCGGAGAGACTAGGGATGTGGTGGGAAGGTCTCAT